TTGATCTTTGATAATTCGGATTTATTTATAGTTTGGATCTTTGATAATTAGGACTAATAGTAGTTTGGATCAATAGAAATTTGGATCTCTGATAATTCGGTTTGGTTGTTGTTTGGATCAATAGAAATTTGAATCTTTAATGATTAGGACTAATTGTAGTTTGGATCTTTGATAGTTTGTATCAATAGAATTTTGAATCTTTGATTATTTGGATCAATAGAAATTTAGATCTTTGATAATTTGGATTGGATATAGTTTGGATTTTTCATAATTAGGACTAATAGTAGTTTAGATCAATAGTAGTTTGGATCAATAGTAGTTTGGATCAATAGAAATTTGGATCTTTGATAGTTTGGATCAATGATAATTTGGATAAACAGTAATTTATATCAATGATATTTTGGATCAATAATAGTTTGGATCAATGATAATTTGGATCAATAGTAGTTTGGATCAATAGGAATTTGGATCTTTGATAATTCGGTTTGGTTGTAGTTTGTATCTTTAATAATTAGGACTAATAATAGTTTGGATCAATAGTAGTTTAAATCAATAGTAGTATGGATCAATAGTAGCGTGGATCAATAGAAATTTGGATCTTTGATAGTTTGGATCAATGATAATTTGGATCAATAGTAATTTAGATCAATGATATTTTGGATCAATAATAGTTTGGATCAATGATAATTTGGATCAATAGTAGTTTGGATCAATAGAAATTTGTATCTTTGACAATTAGGGCTAATTGTAGTTTGTATAAATAGCAGTTTGGATCTTTAATAGTGTGGATCGGATTAATTATAGTTTAGATCTTTTATAATTAGGACTAATAGTAGTTTGGATCAATAGAAATTTGGACCAATGGTGCTTTGGATCAATAGTAGTATGAATCTTTGATATTTTGGATCTTTGATTATTTGAATCAATAGAAATATAGAACTTTGATAATTAGGATCGATAGTAGTTCGGATCAACATAAATTAGAATTGATGATAATTTGGATCAACAGTAGTTTTGGATCTTTGATCTTTTGGATCAATGGTATTTTGTATCGATTGTAATTATTTTGATCGATATTTTGAAACTTTGATTATATGCATCAATTGTTGTTTTCTTTGTAGATATTTTGGATCTTTGATAATTTAGATCAATTATTATATATGGATTAATAGTAATTGTTTTAATTGATAATATTTTAAATGTTTGATATTTTGGATTTTTGATCTTTTTTTGATTCTTGATAAATAAAAAAAAACTTATAAATTGTTATTGACAATAAGTTTGTTTATAACAAAATTTTGCGAAAAAAAATGTCGGCGCCATTGAAAAATACTTGAGCTGTGCAATTCTTTTGTACATATATGCGTGGTCAACTTAATAACGTGGGGAGAGAAGATGACGAAGGACGAGACGGAACGAATACAAGAGGGTTTACTTGAGATCGTGGGACGTGAAGACTTGCGAAGGCCTTAGAAAAAGCACTAAACGTCTGACTTGTCGGTTAGTTTGTAAACTAATTGCCACAAACTACTTTTTTCCATATACATATATATGTGAAAAATTATCCTGTTTCTAAATACTTTTTTTTTGCAAAATGTATATACAAAAACATTTTTTTTCCTCTATTTTTTTTAGGAGAATTATTTTCTATACTTTAGATTACATTTCCTTAGTTATTATTATAGTATACTAAATAACATATAAGAAAAAATTTCCTCAGTTTGTTTATTTTTTATTTTTTTATTGTTTGAAATTACTCATTTAATATATAAAACGCAGATAACGATTATTCTTATCAAAGAATTTTTTTTATGGATAAGAATTCAGTTTACTGACACGCTTTATATATATTTCTAGGATATTGTCAACCAGTTTCTTTTTATTTGCGTCACAATTTTATTTGCGCAATAATACATGTTTCATTGCAAAAATTAATTTCAAAAAAAAGAATAAATTCTCGTACACAAAAAATGAAAAAAAAAATAAAATTTGTGAAACAATGAAAAAAAAAGAAGATAGTAAAATGAACAATATTTGACGTCTAGTATATACGCGAGATTATTACATGGCTGCCAACAACCGCGACGGTTGCGACTGCTCGTTTTTCTATTTTCGAACCCAACTGCATTCCGCAACTAGAAATATCTTACGTGTGCGGCTCTGCTTTAATCCGGTTGTACTGCACCTAACAGGGATTATCAGAGAGGAACCCATCCAATTGCATTGTAAATGTCAATCATTCGATGATATAGAGGGAAACTCATCTCTTCGCTTATATTAAACATTTTGCGCGCAGCTCATCTGCCCAATAATTTATTTATTTTTTGATTATATATTTGCAAAGTTTCATTTTACGACTATTAGAATAATACGCATGTTTCTCATTCCCTATCCTCTTTACTCAGAAAAACGTCCCTTACTATAATCTAAAGGAAAATCTTTTTCTCTCTTCTCACTATAAATAGTCTTCTCTTGCTTCTAATCCAAGAAATATTTCTTGTTGGTAATTTTAGATTTTTTATTTTTTTTTTTTCATCGTAAACGTTTCTACAATTTTTTTTTGTTCATTTTAAAAATAAATGAATATTGATATTAAAATTCAATAATTTTGAATTAGAAAAAAATTGATATTTACTCGGAAATTTCCTTTTCGATTCCAAATAATTGCAAGGAAGCATATTATATGTTATATATACACGCATTGTCATTGTGTTTTTTTTTATCTTTCATTCTGATAATGACAATCAACTAATGCGATACGATGGTTTCTAACTGATAAGATAAAACTAGACACGATACCTATTCTACTCACATAGGAAGTAGTCTTTCTTTACAAAAGACATTCATATATATATATATATATATATGTAATTGTAACTTTGTGTTACGGATAATTTGCATTTAAGTAGCATCTTCGTGTTAAATAGTGTATTAAAAAAAAAAAAAAAAAAAAAAAAAATTTTCCCTACATTGTGACATTTTCTCTCAACATTATAGATAATAAACGTCTCGGTAATACAAGAGAGTTGCGCGAGATAAAAATAATAGTTGAGATAAAGAGTATAAAATGTTACTTAATTGTGTCTAATTAAGTGAAAAAAAACTTGTGTACACGCGTCTTTTTCGTTTATCAATAATTAAATAAATTCTTATCATTCACGGAAGTTTCGTTTAAAAAAATTAAGAAAATTTTTCAGTTGAAAATATTTAATTTAATTTTTTAAAAATGTATTTAATTGGAATTTTTTTTTTTTTTTTTTTTTATTATTAGAAAACGTTGCATATAGGGGGGAATTCCTTCTCGGTAATGTATATGTATGTGCAGGGGAGACTCTTGTCTTAAAATAACTGTGCACCACAAATTCACACGATTCGGCTGTTCCACATATAGATCTTACGATTATGAATGGAAAAATGCACGTGAATTCCTTGGGAAAATGCCAAAAATCCTCTTGGCTATACGACTACCGACTTTGAGGTAGTCATATGCTCGAGGAGTCATCTTCATATATATATATATATATATTTATTCAAAAACGGCAATAACATTACACCCTAAAAAAAGTAATCTTAATTCTAGCGAATTCCTCTTAATTTGATTCATATTTTCCTCTTATATATTGTATCAAAAGTAATAGTCTTCACTTGAGAGGATTTTCCTCTCGCATATAATTTGACAATTATGGTTATAAACTGATAAAGAAAAGCTATTATCATGCACTAAATTAAATATCTTTAATTAAATATTAAATATAATTAATGATTTATAGTTAATTACTTATATTAATTAATAGATTTGTTTATTTATTTAACTTTAATTCAATGTTTTTGCAATCAGAACTTCAAAAAAATTATTTTGTTTTATTATTAGTCACCAAAGAATAAAAATAATCTACATTCAAGTGGAATACTTTTGTTTTAAGAGGATATTAGAAGAGGATTTTTCCTCTAATTATGAGATTACTTTTTTCATAGGGTGTAGTTTTGAAAAATATTACAAAAAATATTGATCCATAAATAATGAATATAAATCCATAAATTTGTTTAATTATTAATTTTATATAAGTTGATAATTTTGTTAACAATCAATAATCTATAATTTTAATTGTCGTATATGGATTTTATTAGCTTATGATTCTGAAATTAGCGACGATTTGCGAAATGTCTGCGCACGGATAATTGGATTGCATAAGACTGATCATAATCTATGGTGGCATTAAACATTGAAATACACACATTGGTTGCATTGGGACGAATGTGTGTTCTCGTGGTTATTATTAATATATACAAAACCCGCTTACCTTGGCTTACCCATATCGATTGCTCTGATAAATAGTAAACTCGTATTCCTACGCTAGACCTTTTAAATTTTCCGGTAATACCCCCACACGATCATATCTTTTTCAATTCTTATATATATATATATATATATATATATATACATATTTACGAGAGAGAATATAATCCAATTTTTTCAATTACAATAATAATATTATATTACGAATAATGTCGTTTAGTATCGGAACATTTATTATTATTATTTTGAAATTATAAATTATGGGAAATAATAATGAGATTAAAAAGTGATTATTTTGTTAATGAAAATTGAAATGTTGTTAAGTGACAAGTACGAAAATAAATTTTTGGAATGCGTATTTTCGAAATGAAATTCCATTGCGATGAGCTGGTGAGAAAGCTCGCGAGCTCTTTGAGAACATGTAGTTCTCAGCTTGTAAGTCGTTTCTAATCTGTCGTTTGGCAATGTTCCTTGTATTTATATAACAATTTAGGTCGTTCGCACTCAGGCTCCCTAGTGTCCACGTTCTGATCGGAACGTTGCCTAAAATGTCTTCACTAGACCAACACAAGAGTTATTTCAGGGTGGCGCCTGCACTTGCCACTGAATTGTAAAATTCTTTATTTTTTTCCAAATTTAATTTTCGATGTAATTTTTTTTTTTTTTAAATAAATTATTCAAAAAAAAAAAAAAAAAAACTCACCTTAATATCGAGGTGCGCTACATTGAAGGAATGAAGAAAAGCAATTCCATCGAGGATTTGTCTAAGAAGCCTTGCAACTTGTCTTTCCTCGGGAATTTCGTCTTTATCCAACACCATTTGTAATTCACCACCGGGAGCCCTGGGAAAAAAAAAGAAAAAGAAATTCGACTTGAGAAACAATGACACCTTTTTCCCTTCCCTTATCTTTTACGAGGAAGGCCGATTTGTTATCTTTATAATAAACACGATATAGGATACGATAACAAAAAAAAACGACTATTTTTTTATTTTTAAAGATTGCAAACGATTTCTTGAATCCCCTGAAATCCCCGTGTCAAAATGATAAAGAAAAATAAGAACATTTTGCGATAATAAAAAAGTTATATTTTATTGAGATAAAAAACTTTCATTTCGTGACTGATAAAAATTTAATTCTTTTGTCATTAATTTAATTATCATTATATTGTTTTTATTTTCGAATAAGATTTTTTTTTAGTTTTAAATAAAATAAAAATATATATATATATATTTACAATTCAAGAACGAGGACCATCTCGTTATTTGTTTCAAAGACTTGATGAAGAGAAACAAGATGAGGACAGTGAGCTGCAGCATCCAGCACTGCAACCTCATGTAGGGCCTCTGCACGAAACTCCTGTGCTCTTCTTCTTTTTTTCAAAAATTTCGCTGCCCATTGCCTTCCACTTGATCTTTCTCTGCATCTTCGTACCGTTGCATATTTTCCCCTGTAACCATAAAAATTATTCATTTAATAAAATTTCGAAAAATTATAATTTTTCTCTTCATAAAAAAAAAAAAAAAAAAAAATGATTGCCCCTAATAATAATTTCATTTTAGAGAAGGAATAATATAAGAAATGTAAAAAAAGGAAAGAGTGACTTTCAATATTATATTCAGAAATGTAGTAATAATAATAGTTTGCATTTATGTAAATCATATTTTAAAAAAATGATTCACCCATTAAATCTCGCATTTAGAAATAAAGGCACGACTTTTCAAAGTGCAAATTCGTCATATCGTGAGAATCACGATTTGAATCTATAAAATCGCGAGGACTTTTGTCAGTAGAAAGTGAATGTGCTTTGTAATGCTCTAGTTTGTTTGAAGTCGTGTGCGTTGCTGCGAAATCGCAGCCCGAAGCCCGCAACATACAAATCCCTCTATATATATTGTAATATTATTGAAACTCTCGTGTTAAAGTTCCATAGTGAAAGCACCCACGTCCCTCCATTACGTAAAATTCGCGCACACGAGGAAGTAGCATATAATATTTTCACTTCGATGCTCTAAAATGCAATAACGATTCACTATATATCGATAAAAAAAAATAAATAAAAAAATTATATGATCTTGTATATATATATATACTTTTCTGATATGTATGATTATTGCATCCGCACACTATTGACATCGGAACCGTGTCTCATTTCCATCTCTGTATCTTGAATCTTTTTATTTTCTCCTCTGAAATACTATTATTATTTTATTATTTATGATCACAATAGAGAAAATACTCCACCTATTCATTCGGAAGCACGATTTTCATGTTTCCTTTTTAAATCAGCGAAATATAATGAGAAAAATTCTATTTTATTCTAATGTTATATGATCATACATTTTTTTAATTTTCTTTTTTTTATTGAAAATTAAATTTCCTAAAATTAAGATAGCATCAATTAATGATATTTGTAGTATCATTGATAGTTCGGATCAATAAAAATTTGCATAATTGATAATTCGGATCAATAGCAGTTTGAATTAATCGTAATTTGGTTCAATAGAAATTTGGATCTTTGATTATTCGAATCAATAGCAGTTTGGACCAATAGTAGATTGGATCAATAGTAGTTTAGAACAAAAAAAATTTAGATCCTTGATTATTTGAACCAATAGCAGTTTGGATCAATAGAAATTAGATCTTCGATAATTCGGAGTGGTTGTAGTTTGGATCAATAATAGTTTGGATCAACAGTAGTTTGGTTCTTTGATTATTCGGATCAATAGCAGTTTATATCAATAGTAGTTTGGATCAATAGTAATTTGGCTTTTTGATAGTTTGGATCAATAGAAATTTGGATCTTTGACAGTTTGGATCAATAGAAATTCGGATCAATGGTAGTTTGGCTATTTGATAATTAGAATTAATAGTTGATTAGATTAACAGTAGTTAGGATCAATAAAAATTTTGAATCGATAATAGTTTGGATCAATGGTAGTTGGAATCAATAGTAGTTTGGATCAATAGTAATCTGATTTTTTGATAGTTTGGATCAATTGTAGTTTGGATATTTAATAATTAGGATTAACAGTAGGAGTTTGGATCTTTGATAGTTTGGATCAATGGTAGTTTGGATCAATAGAAGTTTGGATCTTTAATAATTAGAATCAATAGTTGATTGGATTAACAGTAGTTTGGATCAGTAGAAATTTGGAGCAATAGCAGTTCGGATCAATAGAAATTTGGATTAATAGTAATTTGGATCAATAGCAGTTTAGATCAATCGTGGTTTGGATCTTACATAATTTGGAGTAGTTGTAGTTTGGATCAATAATAGTTTTGATCAACAGTAATTTGGTTCTTTGATTTTTCGGATCAATTTCAGTTTGGATCAATAGTAGTTTGGATCAATAGAAGTTTGTATCCTTGATTATTTGGATCAATAGCAGTTTGAATCAATAGAAATTGTATCTTCTATAATTCGAAGTGGTTGTAGTTTGGATCAATAATAGTTTGAATCAACAGTAGTTTGGTTCTTTGATTATTCGGATCAAAAGCAGTTTGGATCAATAGAAATTGGATCTTTGATAATTCGGAGTGGTTATAGTTTGGATAAATAAAAGTTTAGATCAATAGTGGTTTGGATCAAGAATAGTTTGGATTTTTAATAATTTGGATCAATAGAAATTTGAATTTTTGATAATTCGACTTAATTGTAGTTTGGATCAATGGAAATTCAGATCAATAATGATTTGAATCAATGGTGGTTTGGATCAATAAAAAATTTGTATCTTTGATAGTTTGAATTAATTTGTATGGAGCAATGGTACTTTATATCATAAATAATAATTTAATTTAATGATAAGTCTAATTGATATTTTTTTAATCTTCAATCATAATTCACTTTGATCATCATTTCCATAATCGCTTTTAATTTAAATCTATTGCTTCTTTTGATGTCTAACATATACTATATTCAGTCCATTTTCCTTTTTGTTGCTAATACTAATCATTTTATTCTAAATTATGCCGTACATAAATTTTTTTTTTTTTTTTAAAGTGCGTCATTTATAAAACTTGTTTACATCTTTTTTGACTGTCAACTTAACAGATTTCACTTTCAATGATTCTTTTGAAATTGTGAAAATTCGTAATATTAGACGATTAAGGTATAATTACATATCTTTCCTTTAAGTTCGTAGAATTTATATAGAGGAACCTTATTTCTATATAATTTAAGCCTCGGGTAAAATTTCATGTGAACTTTCACTGGCTGTCGTATATAATATATATTAACTATCGATGCCAAACGACCTTGGAACTATTGAATCGATATGCAACGATTGCTTAGAGGTGTTACACAAAAATAAGATCTGGGTTAGTAGAAAGTAAACAACAACATTAATCATAATCATCATATTTTTTATGATTATAAAACGTACATTGATTTTCTTAATAACAAATTTATTATTTATTTGAAATAATTATATATATTATTAAAATATAATGAATAATTTAAATATAATTAATGAATTTGAAACAATTAAATGAGAGAGAACAATTAAAACTATAAATTTTTTTTTTAACAAAACAAAACTAGATTGAAATAAATTTTCATCTTGATCAATATAATATTGACAGGCTCAATGATATTAATCTTCCTTTACTGATTGGTATTGACCCGATTAACTTTTTGCTTTGATGAATCGAGCTTTATAAGAGACAGGGGAAATTAAATCTTGGCGTTAAATTGCAAAGGCAACAATGACCGAGCCTTGAATTATTATATGAATCAAAGATATATATATGTATACATATATATATAATTTTTTTAGATTGTTTTATATATTATTTTTCGATTTTAGTAGTTAATGAATCATAAATAAATGACAAATTGGAAAATTATTTTACAACATATGGCCCTTAATTGACTCTTTAATAGCGCGCTTTAGTGCTCGATCAGTCAATGTTATACGATTGCAACTCGAATCATAAATTTTTGTTTTTAATCATCTTTCACTCTTCCTTTTTTTTTCCTCTTCTTGTATTTCCCCCTCTTTGTTTTTAGATTAATTGAAATCGACGCCGTTTGCATTGGTTGTTACCTTTGCCTCATTTCTTCCGCCTTTACCATATATGCGCCTACGGCGCCGTCGGTGCGGAATATAAACAGGGTTGAAGCAAAATGTTGCTTCATTTATAACGAGATTATGAAATATATGTACTGTACATTTCAGACATTGCAGATGAGCTAACGATATCGTTTATTAATTTAATAAGCCATCGACGAGGTCAGGGGTTAATTAAACGTTTGAATTTTTATTTTCCATAAAAGATATATAAACAGTATACACATAACATATATATATATATAAAATATTTATTTTAAATATTATTATTTTAAATATTTTAAATATTTTAAAATTCATTATTTATCATTTTCCTGGTCTTTTATTAACAATGAAACAACAATTTTTATTTTTCAGATGGTGTCTGGGTGAGTCAACCTAATATGATTTGAATGCGAGATAAACAGTTTTCAATTGTGGAGATGACATTTATTTTAAAGAAGCCGTGAGTAATGACTATGTTGTATATATATATATATATATATATATATATATATATATATATATATATATATATATATATATGATAAGTGACTCGTTTTAATCCTTCGAAAATTTCATCATATAACTAGACAGTGCCGCTTTCTGTTAGATTATTTTTCCACTCTTTTTTTTTCACCTGGCGCGTTTTGCAATTAACACCTTTGCGGTTTAATAAATTCGACCCACGCTTATACTTATACACTCGCAACCAAACAGACCACTGATTATTTTTTTTTAAATGTGTTTAAAAGTATTAGCGATATTTTTTTTTTTTTGATAGACATCAATTTTTGAATCTATAAATTTTTAATCATTCTAAATAAGGATCTTTAAGATTCTAAATCATTAATAGTTTAGAGCAATAGAAATTTGAATTTTTAATAGTTTGAATCAATGATAATTTTGATTTTTAACAGTATGAATCAATTGTATTTTGGATCAATAGCAGTTTGGATCCTTGATAGTTTTGATCAATGGTATTTTGGAAAAATAGTAGTTTAAGTTTAGTTTAAGTTAGTTTAAGTAGTTTAAGTCTGTGATAATTTGGATCAATAGAATTTTAGATCAATAATAGTTTGGATCCATAGAAGTTTGGATCAATAATAGTTTGGATCCATAGAAGTTTGGATCAATGATATTTTGGATCAATAGAAGTTTGGATCAATAATAGTTTTGATCCATAGAAGTTTGGATTAATGATATTTTGGATCAATAGAATTTTAGATCAATAATAGTTTGGATCAATGATATTTCGGATCAATAGAATTTTAGATCAATAATAGTTTGGATCAATAATAGTTTGGATCAATAGAAGTTTGTATCAATAGAATTTTAGATCAATAATAGTTTGGATCAATAGAAATTTGGATCAATAATAGTTTAAGCCTGTGATAGT